CATTATCTCTAGCTATTAAAATAAATGCAACACCACTTTATCTAAAAATAAAGGTAGTAAAATATGAAGCATATCCTAAATTCAAGTAACACTCACTTAAATGTAGGAGGCAATTTTAAATCAATATTTTCAAACTACAGTCATAGAGCACTATGTATAATTAGTTGTTCAGAACCTAAATCAAAAGGGTGCTTCCAGAGTAAAATGTTTTGCTGAAAGGATAAAAATTCTACACACAGTGTCTGAGCTAAAAGTCCTTCTTTTGTACTAAGGCTTTAGATCATCATAATATAATGGGATTTTACCTCAAATAGAACTGAGTTTAAAAAAATCATCCAGGGACCTGAAGCCTTCTCCATCGCTCACAGGAGAACGATCAGCCCATTTTCTGCTACAAATATTTCTTTTGAAAAGAGCAGACTGTGTTACAACACTGATGATAGGATTTGTGGATGCTGCTGTAACACATCTTGCTCTGTCTGCAAAACAACAGTTTTTCACTACCCTGTATATCACAGGCTTTTCATGCAGGTATGAGGAGTGCAGGCTCAGGGTCTCCATTCTGCTTATGAATTTCTGCTGCCTTTGGCTCTGCTGGAAGCGCCGAATACAGAGTGTGTGTCAGCTGCACACCATGGTGCTCTCATCAGCAGGCAATGAGCTCTGACTCAGAGGTGGCAGCATCATCTGGATAGAAACCAGACCTGCTTCATACACCTGGTCACCATCACTGTTCACTGCCCACACAAGCATTGCTTCAAGGGGCAGATTTTTCATAAAGCACACATGGTTGTACAAATGAGCTATTTTTGTGATCACTACAATGAATACTTTCATATAATAAGAGCATACCCAAATAACAGGCTTTATTTGATTATCTGCTAATGCACTTTATAGGTGAATATCTTATCCTAAATTCCCACTTATGTGATATGGTATTTTTAATTCATTCACTTATTTTTCATCCTAACTTTCTGAGACTTTAAGTGTCACTTAGTAAGATATCTGCTGCTATCACAGGGATGAACATTTAAAGCACTAAAAAAAGTAAATACTTGCATTCTGGTGAATTCGACCTGGAACTAACAACAAAATATATCCATCAAAGTAATTCCATAAACCATAACCAATAAGTTAGACACATCTAATTGACTTTCCGCTGAATAAAATACTACATCTCATTGCGGTTAGGTTTCCATGCAGCTGAAATATCTGCATCCAGGACAACCCAGACAGATTTCTAATGACTCTGCCTGAAAAAAGGTTGCCCCTTAAGTAATTAGCCTCTTAAACACGCATTGTCTCAGCCACACTCCACAAACCTGGGGAATAACTTCTGGACTCATCATTTCCAGTGCTGATCTCTTAGAGCTTAAACAAGAGATACACATCAGGAAAAGAAATCTCCTGCAAACACTAAGCATGTTTGCTACTTACTGAAACAGAGTAACTGTGCTGTAATTATTAATAACATAAATTGAACTTCAAATAATTAATTAGGGTTTATCAGCCTTTTTTATTATTTTGGTGGGGGAGTGGGATGGAAGAGAACAGTGTTGTTTACTCCTGAGATCAGAACGTCCCTTATTTTTAGGATTTATTTTTTGAAAACTTGTCTCAGACTTAGCAAAGCGCTTGTCTTACTTTTTCAAAATGGCTTCTAGACTACCCAGAAGAATAAAGTCAGAATTTAGTCACAGCAACTCTTGAAAACTGTCAAAGCTATTAAACATTGGGCATAAAGAAAACTGGCATCTGATTTCAAGTTCTTTTCAAATATCCAGATACTGATGTAGATTTTTCATTATAACAAAACAAAAGCTGCATTAGGATTCTTTATTCAACACACTTGTCAAGGACTCAGAAAATGTGATTTGTACTTGTTAACATGAATCACAGATAAGAATTAAGGTCAAAATACAGTCAAACCCCTGCATTTGTTTTGCCATCTGTATCAACAGGAACAGCTCAAAGTAACCACACTATAGTACAGTTGAATTTGCTGTTTAAAAGTCAGGCCACTTACAAATATCTTGTAGACTATGTTGTGTACTTGTTTTTTAAATGTAAATGACTATTCAAGTATTTTAATGACAAGATTTAATTCTAGAGTGTGTCACACAGTATGTCTCCTATTAATGGTTTGAACTGAGTCCACAGGAATTTTTACACATAGTTAGGGGTTCCTTAAACTTCAGATAGTCCAAGTCCTGACTTCACACAGGGCGACCTGAAAGTTAAACCATGTATTTAAGTGCTGTCCAAATGCTTGAAGCACTACAGTCTTGTGGCCATGACCACTTTCCTGGGGAGACTGTTCAAGTGGCTGACCACATTTTCTTTTTATCCAATCTGACTTCTCCTGACACTGCTTTAAGACATTATCATGTACAGTGAGCATTGGCTAAGGGGAACCTGTGGCACAATGGGCCCCTTCATGTTTTTTTAAGCGAAAAACTGGCAACTAACAAAAATAGGGATCACTCTAGCAAATTTAACATTGGCTGGAAGGTAAAAGTCATGCCAACTCAATTTAGAAATAATGTATATGCTTTTCACTGTAATGATCATTGACATAACCACTAGGAAAAACTATGCATTCCTTGCCATTTGTAGGAGGACTCATCTGACAGAGTGTAGAAGCATACAGCATAGACATCCACATTTAGGCTAAGTCCATAGATTTCCCTTACAGATAACTGAAAAAAGACACATTTTTAGGGCGTGATTCATCTCATCCTAGAGTAGACACCTAAACTAGGGCAAACTAGACTTCTCCAAAAGCCCTTAGTTTTACAGGGTAAATATCCATGTGAGCGCAAATCTAATCTTAATACATTTATAATCAAGTCAAGATGCCTCTATAAAAGATGTCTTATTTTTAAACACAATTTTTAGGTTACATACAAAGGTAACAACATTCTACTGTACCACCATCCCTCCTGTCTTGGAACCTATTACACCTAAAACTGAAGACAAGACGACCAAGAACTGCTGATGAGCTTCTCAGTATCTTTACTTTAAGTATGATGAACAGCTTATTTTCTTCTGAATTCTAAAGGAGGTTTATTTGCACTTTTTGAAAATATTTGCTTAGCCTTAGCATTTTATTCTATGCAAGCATTTTTCTTCTGCACTATATCGTCTTTCTTTTATAGATTTTCTTATGCAGGCAGTGAAAACATGAGAAATTTTCTGAAAAAAACAGTAAGTGGCAATGAAAACAGTCACAGAATGTGACTCTTGGAGTAAAACCTTCAAAATTTCCCTAAAATTGCAGCAACAACTCAAAAGAAAGTGAAAAGATGAAGAATACAGCTCTCCCAGCATGTAACACTGTAGCTAGCATGTATTAATTGGCTAACATTATTGGATAGAGAAGTCATCAATCAATCAAGAAAATATACTTTAATTGGATTAAATTCTATGTCTTCTGGCACCTTCAAACATTTGCCTTTTAATGCTTATACCGTGTTCAACGAATGCTCACAGGAAGCTTTAGAACATTTTCCTTCAAGATCCATAGTCCAACATATTTTTTCAGAAAGCTATTCTTTTGAATATGTGAACATTTCTCAATAACCAAATATTTTATTTTGACATTTAAAAACAAATCAGCAGCAGCATGGATATTTAAAATAAAAACATTTCATCCAGAACTCAATATATATCCATTTGAATATTGTGTTGCCATATTTCATGGAATTTCTAGCTTGGTTGCCTTGCATCCACACCATCCTTTCTGGGAAGAACAATTCATCTGGATTAATCTCTTGATTTACCATACACAAAGAGTTCAAGGAATATAGTTCAAGACATGACCTAACAGATAAAGAAGAGTTGGAACTAAGAAGTAAACCATTTTATTATTCAAGAAACATCTTGACAACATATCTGAATACATTTTTTAACAAAAATCTTTTCTGTCAAGTTTAAACCTTCAAAGCAGTATTTCAGTTTTATGGATGCAACCCTCATTTTTTAACAGACTTGGGGGAGCTGCAGTTTACAAAGTGAATTTCAACCATGATATAAATCATTCCATGGGAAATTTGTCTGACCTTCTCATCCAGCTACGTATTTCTTTTGTTAGAGGCTTTAGACAGTGTTGAATAGCTGTTCTACATAATACTCCCATTCTCTTTGAAAACAAAAGGTTTGCATTAGGGGAAGAACAATTTAACCAGAAACAGAAGTGAATACACATAATGAAAACAATGCGTGATCTGATCCTTGAAAAAAAAAAAGGCACATATCTATCTGCATGGTTTTCCTTCCTTGCTACATCTCCATCTTCTACCTAAACATTACAAAATCCAAATGACAGCAGCTACAAGGTTGGTATAGGATCAAAAGAAGCAGAACAGAAGTGGAACTCTAAAATGGTACAAAAGGACATCTGGTTTTCCCCTCCTGCTACCTCCTGTACCAAACTAGGGGAAGGAACTGGCAGAGCATGTAAAGGAAACACATAAACACTGAGAAAGAGCAGGCAGTCCACACATCCTTCTTTTATGCAGGTCTGCACCTATTTAGAAAAGAGGCATGGGGATCCTTAGAGCTGCAGAACTTTCTGAGTGCCTCTGCACTAGGGCTGAAGCACAGATCATAGCATACTTCTATTTTCTTTATTGCCATTGCATACTGTACTTTGTCTTGTAGCATGGGAGGGTCCTGAATCATGTGAATTGTCTTTTTACACTATACTGAATTGGAAAAAGGGCTCCAGGAGTGCATGCAATGCCCTCCAGGCACAAATAGGCAATCAATGCATACCACAAGGCAACAGCTAGTCTGTGTGGTCCCTTGTGCTTACTAAAGGCATAGCTCACATGACTGTTGATAAGCACCAGTGAAATGTATGTCCACAAAAAAAGACTGTGACATATTGATGCAATTTTAAATTCTCCTAGCAATAAACAGATTTCTACTGACAGAACACGATTATAATCAGGTTTACGTATCACAGACTAGCTAAGAAAAAAGAGCAAAGGGGTTACCTTAATAGGGCTTCCATCTGGAGTGAGAACCTCTTCTGAAAGTTCCATCATCTTCAGTGCCATCAGGGCAATGGCTTTAGCATGACTAAGGCTTTTCTTATGGAGCCCTGCCGCAACACAGTATGCATCACCTATTGTTTCCACCTGCAGCAATCAGATAAATCAAATGTTAAAGTATGATAATGAGAAGGGAGCCCTACCATTAGGGTTGTAATCAAATAGCATTGCTTAAAACATGTGAGCAAAACATCCATAAATATGCAATTAGACAACGGAGCATAATTACCTGAGTTTGCAAACAGGTGCAGTCAAAACCTGACATGTGATTGCATAGTGGTTTATCACCATTATAAACCAAAGAAGATCATTACATCTAGAACAGTGTATGCCATCAGCTGAGATATGACATCTTCCCATAGTAGTAACAGAAAACTGCAATTTCCCAAACGAAAAATTGCTTGCAGCTTTGCTTCACACTATCCTGGCTGAGTCTGCTGTTGGGTAAGAATACTTCTCCATAATTTTAACTCATAATTAGTATTTGCTGTGCTAGAAAATTATATCAGGAAGAGAAGTCGAAAAAACTAAACACCACCAAAAAACCAGTGATGAGTCTATAACTTTTCATTAGCAGGTAGCTCTTTCTAGTACAGGGATAATTTACAAATGGATGTTACTGCTACAGGCTTTTGACTGCACCTTGCTCTGTTGTTTTCAAGTAAGAATTGTTGCTTCCCTCTTTGCAGGCTATCTGACTCTGAATTCCCTACCTGCAGGCATCAAGTTCAGTAGACTGATCCCTCTGGTCTCTTCAGACAGGCCTTACCTCTCTCTTATCCTTGTTTTTCTTTAAAGAAAGCTGTCCCTCAGGAGGAAGCAGGAGCAAGATGAATTGCAGAAGCCCTCTGGCTCTGGATAAAGGCAGCCTGACAAACAGTGAAGCCCTCAAGGTCTGGAGCTTTATTGACAGCATTGTGTTTTGCAGTCTGCTTGCCCACACATCTGTATCATTCTTGCACACAGTCCATTAACACATGCCCAAGCAGACCTCAAGGGTTAGTTTGGTTTTTGGCTTAAACTCTGTACACACTACATAAATGCCAGAAAATGCTTCAGCAAAGACTAGGGTGAGAAGAAAGCAAGCACTGAGAAAGGAGTTATTCAGAGAATAAATACAGATGATTCTTCTCTCTACAGAGAATCTACTAATAGTAAACCTGGACCTTCTCAGATTAATTTCCAGTCTTGATAAACTGGAATTAGTATCTCAATAGAAATAGTATCTGGAAAAGTAAGCATTACATCTAAATATACCCACAGCATGAATCTAGAACAGCAGTATGAGCAAATACTTCCCAGCATCAAATTTAACAGAAGCTGCTGCAAGCCCATTGCCAAGTTTGCCACCTTAGCCTTTCCAGCTGATTGTGCAGGATAATATATATTAGAATCTGAGGGTTTCCCATGAGCTGAGGGGCGGGGACCCAGCCGTTAGAGCCCCTGTGTCACTTTTGGAAGCTCCTAATAATACTAATATATACTAATATGTAATTACATATATAATAGCACTAATATACAGAAAAACATGTAGGACCAATCAATACTACTGTCTGTCTGCCTGTTTCACCCAAGCTGTATCTCAGGATCCCTGTCCACAAGCAGCAGGGGCTGCCAAGTCCCTGCAGTTCAGGAGGTTGTCTTTCCAAACATAAATGGATGAGCAAGTGTATTGCAATGGCTGGTGAAAAATGTAGAAACTAGGGAAAAAAATACACATGCACAGTGAGAATAAGTATCAGAAGTTAGGAAGACAGTCTGGATTGCCAAGAAATAGATGGTAAAAAATTCTCTAAATCAGAAGGAAGAATTAGAAGAAATCCATTGTCATTCTTAAAAATCATGGCTCAACATGAACTAATTTAACAGCTAAACTGCACACACTGAATGAGTAGCATCATCAGAGTTGCAGTGTACATATCTCTGTACTACCAGAGAAATGGGACTGAAGCTGCCTCATGTTAATCTTAATATAAAAATAAAAATTACAATGACGCCATTAGTCTTTAAAGTGTTTGTCCCTATGAAGTTCCTCTCACAGTAATACTGGAGAACTAGGGGAAGGATTAGCACGGTTTAGACTGATCTGGTCATTGAAACTAGATGTGATGAGTACTGGGTTGTCCAAAGATTTACCAGTTTGTTACCCTGTTTTCAGTCACTACTAAGATTTTCCCCAAGCTGAAATTTCCATTACGAGTATCTCCATCAAACTTTACCTTGGTTCCATTCTTTCTTCAAAATCAGATCTGTGTTTTTTCTCACCAACTACATATTTGGTTTTTTTATTCCAGGAGCTTTTGTAATTCAGGTTGTTTATGGCACTTTGATTTGGTACACTTGCAATAGAATAGAATTGTAATAGAATCATGGAGTAGTTCAGGTTGGGACATTCAAAGGTCATTTGGTTCCAGCCCCCCAGTCATGTACAAGGACATCATCCACTAGACCAGGCTGCACAAAGCCCCATCCAACCTGGTCTTAAACACTTCCAGGGATGGGGCATCCACAAGTTCTCTGGGCAACCTGTGCCAGTGTCTCAACGCCTTCATCATGAAGAATTTCTTCCTTATACCCAGTCCAGATCTAACCACTTTTGGCCCATAAATGTTGCACCTTGTTCTGTAACTATAGGCTTTGGTAAAATGTTTCTCTCCATCTTTCCTGTAAGTTCCCTTTATGTATCAAAGGGCACAAGATCTCAATGGAGCCTTCTCTTCTCCATGCTGAACAACCCCAACTGTCTCAGCCTGTCTTCACAGGAGAGGTGTTCCAGCCCTCTGGTCATTTCCATGGCTCTCCTCAGGACTCACTCCCACAGGTCCATGTCCTTCTTATGCTGAGGACCCCAAAGCTGGACACAGAACTCCAGGTGAGGTCTCACAAGAGCAGAGAAGAGCAGAAGGAAAGAATTACCTCCTTCAATGTGCTAGCCAGCATTCTTTTGATGCATCCCAGAATATGGTTGGCTTTCTGGACTGTAAGTGTACATTGCTGGCTCATGTCTAATTTTTCATCTACCAGTATTCCTAAGTCCTTCTCTGGAGGCATGGTCTCAATCCATTCATCCCCCAGTCTGCATTAATATTGGGAATTGCCCTGACCTAGATGCAGAACCTTGTACTTGGTAATGTTGAACTTCAGAAGGGTATATGAGGACATTAAAATAGAAACTGCAATGAGATACATCACACTTCAGAATTTCAGGCTGGGCCCATCAGTGAGTCAGATGCACACGGGAAAGAAGGGGATATCTCTTGTTTCAGCTCAGGGCAGGAATTGGACTAAAAATCCAAAGCACTGCTTATAGCTAGTATCTGCTGGGTAGGTCCTGAAACTGTGCACACCAGAGAACAACCTACTTCATAAATATTTGAGTAAATGTCAACAGGATTAAAAGAAAAGGAAGATACTACTCAGGGTTGCTAAAAATTGCTGCATTTGCATCCATCTGATCTTCTTCAAGATGATGATACACTGTAATGAAACTCCAGAGGAAATCTCTACCATGTGATAAACTAACTTCTGTGGTTTTGAGATTGTAATGTGACTATTATACTGCATTAGTAGTAGTATTTTTGATTCTTATAACCTTCCTAGATACGTATGCAGGAAAAGGTATTTTGCTTTCACTGTAAGATTGGAATACATTATCCTGCTTCTTTCAAAAAATGAAACATATTTTGTTCTGAATATTACAGCCAGTTTTGCATATGATTGACATATTACAATTATTACGATTTAGCAAATCTTTTACTAGTTAGATGATAGTTTCTTACTGCTCTTAATAGTTCTAGCTACTCACTAACAGCCTGACCTACTGTTATCTACTTTTCATCCCTTTTCATTGACTTACATTGTGGCCAGCTTCACTGGAGCTTCCATTAATTGGGAGTGAATATATAACACCACAAAAGAGAAGCAAGGCTGAACTGGGATTTCAAAATTAAACTTGATTGAACATGGATTTCAAAATTTAAAAAATGTATGATAGAATTTTATGCTTAATTAACAAAAAAAAAGAATCCAGGAAATATTACAGTTACTTACACTACTACACAAAGTCCTACTCTAAAGCCTTCTGTAACTCTGCATCAAGCAACTGAAAATGTTTTTCAGTCAGGCCCTCAACAAATCAAATATTAAAATTAATAATTAATTGAACTACTTGTGTGTACTTTACAATTCAGAAAAACTTCCTTGACAGACGTCCTAAGACTGCTGAATACTGAAGAGTGCTAGTGGATAACACTTGCAGCAGGAACCAAGCAAAAATATTTTCTGCTTATGGGAAGTCATTTTCTCTGTACCAAATTTCTGCTAGTCCTTGGTAGATCCGATGTTCGTTTTCGATGTGAACAGTACTTCTTACAGAAGTTGAACTCTGTAGTAATTGCCTTATAGTCCCTTATTCTTAACTCATAATGATTTCAAGTGGAATATGACTTGCAGGTGAATCTGGTAGCCCAGCAGTCAGAATATAATTTCTCCAATTCTAGTGTGTCCAGAGAACAGAGACTAATAAACTGTTCCCTGGGCAGCTCCAACAGGTCTCTTCTAATTACCAGGAGCTAAACCTTGTGTTGTTTCATGCTATTAAACTGAGAAACATGAAGTTGTAGCTGAATGATGCCCTCTGGGTATAACGTCAGGGTGTTGATTCAGTGGCAATTGAGAAGGCAAAATGTGGTGTATTGAAGT